AAGGCTGGGAGGGTGGGGAGGGAATGGGCTGGAATTCCCAGGGAAGCTCCATCCCTGGAAGTGCCCAAGAAAAGTGGGAAAAAAGAAGCTCCAGGGAAACCTCAGAGCCTAAAGGGGCTCTGGGAGAGCTGGAGAAGGATTTGGGATAAGGGATGGAATGCCATGACACAGAGAAAGGGAATTTGGGAAGGAATTCCTGGCTGGGAGGGCGGGAAGCGAATAGGCTGAAATTCCCGGAGAAGCTGGAAGCGCCCAAGCAAAGATCGGGATAAGGAGAAAACACCGGAATGAGCTGAAAACTCCCCAAAACCTTGGAGATTCCCCTGTAGGAACCCTTAGCAAACAGCTCAGGAACCCCTCAAAAACCCCAAAATTCCAACACAAACACCTTTCAACAACTTCCCGCCCCGTCTCATCCTTTCTCTCCCCATATTCCCGCGTGCCTGCTCCGTGGTTTTCGGCAGTAATTCCCTGTTTCCCGTTTGGGGACAGTTGAACCCCAAATACTGACAGCATCCTTAAAGTTTTGCCCCCAGAGGACTCGGAGACGCGGCAGGTGGTGGAAAAGCTGGCCAGGTTCGTGGCTGAGGGCGGCCCCCAGCTCGAGAAGGTGGCCATGGAGGACTACAAGGATAATCCCGCTTTTTCGTACGTTCCCGAGCGGCTCCCGGCCGGGAAAACGGCGCCTCCGGGGAGGGGGGAGATGGGGTGGGGATGGGGAGCGTTCCCTGGGATGGGGGAAAGGCTTGGGGTCCCCAAGGGGGAAAGTTTGGGGTTCTTGTTATTCCATGAGGGGGAAAGCGTGGGTTTGAGGTGGAAAAGTTTGGGGTTATTGTTCTTCCCTGAGGGGTAAAGTTTGGGTTTGAGGGGGAGGAAAAGTTTGGGGTTCTTGTTCTTCCCCAAGGGGTAAAGTTTGGGTTTGAGGGGGAGGAAAAGTTTGGGGTTCTGGTTCTTCCCTGAAGGGGAAAGTTTGGGGTTCTTGTTCTTCCCTAAGGGGGAAAAGGTTTGGGTTTGAGGGGGAGGAAAAGTTTGGGGCTCTCATTCTTCCCCGAGGGGGAAAGTTTGGGTTTGAGGTGGAAAAGTTTGGGGTTCTCATTCTTCCCTAAGGGGGAAAGTTTGGGTTTGAGGGGGAGGAAAAGTTTGGGGTTATTGTTCTTCCCTGAGGGGGAAAGTTTGGATTTGAGGGGGAGGAAAAGTTTGGGGTTCTTGATTTTCCATGAGGGGGAAAGTTTGGATTTGAGGTGGGAAAGTTTGGGGTTTTCATTCTTCCCCGAGGGGGAAAGTTTGGATTTGAGGGGGAGGAAAAGTTTGGGGTTCTTGTTTTCCCCTGAGGGGGGGGAAAGGTTTAGGTTTGAGGGGGAGGAAAAGTTTGGGGTTCTGGTTCTTCCCTGAAGGGGAAAGTTTGGGGTTCTCTTTCTTCCCTGAGGGGGAAGGTTTGGGGTTCTGGTTCTTCTCCAAGGGGGAAAGTTTGGGGTTCTCGTTATTCCCTGAGGGGGAAAAGTTGGGTTTGAGGCAGAAAAGTTTGGGGTTCTTGTTTTCCCCTGAGGGGGAAAAGGTTTAGGTTTGAGGGGGAGGAAAAATTTGGGGTTCTTATTCTTCCCTGAGGGGAAAAGTTTGGATTTGAGGGGAAAAAAAGATTGGATTTGAAGGAGGGAAAAGTTTGGGTTTGAGGGGGAAGAGTTTGGGGTTCTTGTTCTTCCCTGAGGGGGAAGTTTGGGGTTCTGGTTCTTCTCCAAGGGGGAAAGTTTGGGTTTGAGGTGGAAAAGTTTGGGGTTCTTGTTTTCCCCTGAGGGGGAAA